GGCCTCTATCAATTTAAGAAATGTTCTTTCTTTACCAATTTTCTTAAGTGTTCTGATCATGAAAGGATGCTGAATATTATCAAAAGTTTCTTCTGCATCAATTGAGAAAATCATATGGTCTTTGTTTTTTAATTTGTTTATGTGATGTATTATATTTATATATTAATGTATATTGAACCATCCTTGGGATTCTGGGATGAAACCCACCTGGTCATGATGTATAATTTGTTTGATGTGTTGTTGGATTCTGTTTGCTAGGATCTTATTGAATATTTTTGCATCAATATTCATTAGAGATATTAGTCTATAATTTTCTTTTCTTGTTGGGTCTTTTCCTGGTTTGGGAATCACAGTAATATTTGCTTCATAGAATGTGTTGAGAAGTATTCCTTCTTTTTTTATGTTTTGGAGAAGGTTAAGTAATATAGGTACTAGTTCCTCTTTAAAGGTTTGATAGAATTCTGATGTGAAGCCATTTGGTCCCAGGTTTTTCTTTTTGGGGAGATTTCTTATACTTGATGCTATTTCAGAACTTGTCATAGACTTGTTCAACATTTCCACTGCTTTCTGGCTAAGTCTAGGAAGGTGTTGTGTTTCCACGTATTGATTTATTTCCTTCAGGTTTTCATACTTCTGAGAATAGAGTTTTATGTAATATTCATTAAGGATTTTTTTAATTTCTGAGGAGTCTGTTGTTATTTGGCCTTTCTCATTTCTGATTGATGAAATTAGGGATTTTACTCTTATGCTTTTGGTTAGGTTAACCAAAGGTTTATCTATTTTATTGACCTTTTCAAAAAACCAATTTTTTGATTGATCCATTTGTTGTATGATTCTTTTGTTTTCAATTTCATTTAGTTCTGTTCTAATTTTAGTTATTTCTTTTCTTCTGCTGGGTCTAGGGTTGAAATGTTCTTCCTTTTCCAGTTGCTTGAGACGTCCCATTAAGTTGTTGACTTCCTCTCTTTCCATTCTCTTGAGGAAGGCTTGCAGTGCTATAAATTTCCCTCTTAGGACTGCCTTTGTGGTATCCCAAGGTTCTGGTAATTCACGTCTTCATTATTGTTTTGTTCCAAAAATTTGGTAATTTCCTTCTTAATCTCATCTATGACTCAGCTATCATTCAGCATGAGGTTATTTAGTTTCCATGTTTTGGTAAGCATATGCAGATTTCTGTTGTTACTGAGTTCAACTTTTATTCAGAGATAGTCTGAGAAAATACAAGGAATGATTTCCATTCTTTTAAATTTGCTGAAGTTAGTCTTGTGACCTAAGATGTGATCAATTTTGGAGGATGATCCATGGGCTGATGAGAAGAATGTGTGTTTGGTTTTGTTAGGATGAAATTTTCTTAAGATATCTGTTAAATGCAATTGTTAAATGGGTAAGTTTAAGTGTAAAATTTCTTTGCTTAGCTTCTTATTGGAGGATCTATCCAACACTGCCAAAGGGGTGTTAAAATCTCCGACTATTAATGGTGCTGGAGGAAATCACATTGCTCATGTCTGTTAGAGTCTTTCTTACAAATCAAGACGCATTCTGGTTGGGTGCATAAATGTTAATAATTGAAATCTCATCATGTTGAGTATTGCCCTTAACAAATATGAAGTGACCATCCTTATCTTTCCTTACTGTTGTTGATTTAAAGCCTATTGTATCTGCAAATAAAATTGCAACACTTGCTTTTTTCTGATTTCCATTTGCCTGGAATATAGATGACTATCCTTTCACTTTGAATCTACGTTTATCTTTTAAGGTCAGGTGAGATTCTTGAATGCAACAGAAGTCTGGCCTGAGTTTTTGTATCCAGTCAGCCAACCAGTTCCTCTTTAGAGGGCAATTTAAGCCATTCACATTAATTAAGAGTATTGATGAGCCTGGTAATATTTTGGGTATCGAGTTTTTCAAAAGACCAGTGGACATTTTTAATCCTTTCGCCAACTGTGGAAGTTGGAATTTGATCAAAAGTTTCTGAATGAGTTTACTTTTGTGGTGGATTGTGCTGGTCATTATGGAGGTTAGGTCTGAGAATATCCTGGAGAGCTGGTTTAGTTATGGCAAATTTCTTCAACATATGCATGTCATTAAAGTATTTAATTTCTCCATCGTAAATGAAACTCAGTTTAGCTGGATACAGGATCCTGGGTTGAAAGTTATTTTGTTTAAGGAGATTAAATGTCAATGACCACACTCTTCTAGCTTGAATGGTTTCAGCAGAGAGATCTGCAGTCATTCTAATGTTCTTTCCCTCATAGGTTATGGTTTTCTTACGTCTGGCTGCTTGCAGAATTTTCTCCTTCATATTAACTTTGGCGAAGCTAATTATAATGTGTCTATGAGAATTTTTATTTGTATTGAGTCGTGCTAGTGTTCTGAAACTGTCTGCTATCTGGATTTCAGAATCTCTTGGCATGTCTGGAACATTCTCTTTGATTATTTCCTGAAGTAAAGCTTCTGTATCCTTCACTACATCCTCATCACCTTCAGGTATTCCTATAAGGCAAATATTAGATCTCTTCAAATTATCCCAGAGCTCTCTGAGAGAATGATCCATTTTTATTCTCCACTTTTTTTCCTCATTGAGCATTTGGGAGCATTCAGAAGCTTTGTCTTCAATGTCAGAGATCCTTTCTTTGCCTGTTCCATTCTGTTACTGAAGTATTCTACTGTATTTCTCAGATCTTTGAGGGCTGCAAGTTCTTGCCTCAATGTGTCAAAATCTTTGGTGATTTTTGTCTTTGAATTAATTGAATTCTTGAGACATCTTTTGAATAACTCCCTGAAATTCTGATTCCATCCTTGCCTCCATTCTATTGATCTTATTTGCTATCCAGATTCTGAACTTGATTTCTGACATCTCAGCTGTTTGTTTATGAATGGGATCTTGTGTCTGCCATATCATTCCATGAGGGAGTTGATCTACTCTGATTATTTATGTTGCCAGAATTTTCCCGCTGATTCCATCTCATGATTGTTTTTTACTGGCTGGCTAGATGGGCAGGTAAGGTGAAATTGGATTGGGAGCTCCTGGAGTTGTAGTTAACCAGCCCTTTGTTAAGGATCTGTGACTGGTGACTGCAGCTTTTTCCCCTACAGCTTTGCACAGGATCCGTATAGTATTACGATCTGAGGCTGAGGAAACCTGCTTGGTGTGGTGGGGTTAGGTGGCTCTGTTGTGTGTTCAGCTAGTCCTTGTCTAATCCTAGTGGATCAGTGACTCTGGTTTGAAGTCTTAGCTATGGAGAAATACAAGCAAGTAAGACACCCTACCCCTGCCATGGACAACAACTGGAAGAGGAAAATCAACCCTTCCTGTTACCACACAACCAGGGTACCACCCAAGAGGGTCCTTGGGTGATTGGCCCAGGCTAGGAGTGCCAAACCAATTGACCCAGTCAGTACGAACTCTCAAGTTGGAGAGTTCAAAAGGTCTCCAGCAACTACATGGCAGAGGTCTATTGGCTGCTCACATTTGGCTCACTCCGGTAATCTGTGGAGTCAGAAAGGACCGCCCAGTAGCAGATTGGACCAGGGGGCTGTGTCTCTTTTTCCACTTTGCTCCTCCTTCACACCCAGTCACTGGTGACCCCACAGGGCTGAGGTCCTATTCCCTCCAATAAGCAGATGTGCTGGGGCTTTGCACCTGTCAGAGTCTAGAGAGTCCACAGAGACCCCAGGGATGTTTGATGTTGGTTAATCTAGAAAATTTAAGTATGGGGTTATGCCTTCAACCAGTTAAAGAGGTAGTTCAAACCAAGGATGAATGCCAAAAATCACTTACTATAATAAAAAAGACAGATAAGTTTTAATGAGTATATGGAAAAAGTAGAACCCTTATATACTGCTGGCAAGAAGGTAAAATAGGCACTTTGAAAAACAGTTTTAATTTCCTCAAATGATTAAAGAGTTACTGTATATTTCAGCTTATCCACTCCTAGGAATATTCCAAGAAAAATGAAAGCACACATTCATACAAAAACTTGTATGCCAGTGTTCATAACAGCCAAAAAGTAGAAACAACCCAGATGTCGGCTGGGCGCAGTGGCTCATGCCTGTAATCCTAGCACTGTGGGAGGCTGAGGTAGGTGGATTGCCTGAGCTCGAGTTCAAGACCAGCCTGAGCCAGAGCAAAACCCTCCCTCTCTAAAAATAGTCAGGTGTTGTGGTGGGCACCTATAGGCCCAGCTACTTGGGAGGCTGAGACAAGAGACTCGCTTGAGCCCAATAATTTGAGGTTGCTGTGAGCTGTAAAGCCACAGCACTCTACCAAGGGTAATATAGTGAGACTGTCCCCCCAAAAAACAACCCAGATGTCTATCGGTTGATGAATGGGTAAATTAAATATGGCATATCCATTTATACAATGGAATATTATTCAGCAGTAAAAAGAAATAAAGTACTGATACTTCCTACAATATGAATGAATCTTGAAAAATGCTAAGTGAAAGACAGGAGGATATGAAAAAACACAAAGGACCACATATATGATTCCATTTATATAAAATATTCAGAATTAGTGCATCTGTAGAGGAAAAAAGTAGATTAGTGATTGCCTATGGAGGAGAAATGTTGGGAGTGAACAGGGATTAAGATGAACAGGGATTCTTTTGTGGGTAATGAAAATGTTCTAAGACTAATTGTGGTGATGGGTGCATAACTGTGAATACACTATAAAAACCATTGAATTTAAATGTGTGAATTGTATGGTCTGAGACTTACAGCCAATAAAACTGTTTAAAATGTCACTTGTGGACCTTTTTCAAAATATGGATGGTGAAACTCCAGCTTTGACTTCTAGAATTTGTTACACAAGTGATTGGATGTGCTATTATATAAGAACCATTGAATTAACATTAATTTTAAATCTTTTAAGATGAGTCTCTGTGACAGTAATTCTTTCTCTGATATGAAAAATGTTCTTACAGAGAGTGCAGGATATAATACATCTCATACTTAGTGTGAATTCTCTATTGTATGTGATTTTTTTTTTTAATCACTAGGTTATTGCTTGGAATATGCTACCATATTGGATAAAGAAGCCAAACCATACAAAGTTGATCCTTTTGTAATTATGACTAAGTTTCTATTGGGGTAAGTGTTATTATCTGTGATAATGATTTTAATTTTGTTTTATATATAAAACATTATGTTTGGTTCCATAATGCAATAAATTTTCATACAAATTTGGCAATTGTTCCATTAAACAGAATTTTTCTCCTTTTGGCGAAGACCTAATAAGTATATCAAAAACTACTTATATGATATAATCATTTCAAAAGTAATTATAGAATTTATTTGTTTTTTGCAGTTTTTGGCTAGGGCTGGGTTTCAAAAGTAATTATAGAATTTAGATGTATCAATCTAAACTTAAATTGGAGCTGGGCACAACTCATGCCTGTAATCCCAGCTCCTCAGGAAGCTGAGGAAGGAAGATTACTTGAGGCCAGGAGTTTGATACCACCTGGGAACAAGACAGTGATACCCGATCTCTAAAAATAAAATAACATAGACTATAAATTTACCAGCCTTTAACAAATTCGCAAATAGAGACATATGGTCCACGATCTTGGAGTGTCCTAGATTCAAACACAAATCGTTATAGGGTACCAATGAAAACAGTACCTCTGATTACTTTCTCTTCTATGCAAAGTACGTTTTAGACCTCTCTACCCTAGTTAACATTTCATTCTTAATTTATTCCTATTATGTGTGTTTTGGTTAAGAACTGTTTCTTAGATTTTCTGTCATTACAACAAACTGAACTATTTGATTTCTTTAAAAACACATTACTTCATATAGGATTAAATAGGGGGCAGTGAAACTACTGAGACACAGGACTCAGATCTTTGAAGATTGATAGGCTCACTTAGAAGATAAATGACTTTCCACACAAAGACCTAAAAAAAATTTTAGTATAATTTTAAGTTGAGTATCCTAGTGAATAGTCAGACTCCTCAAATATTAAATCCTTGCATGTCAGTTGGGTTTTTACACTTTTATTTTATGCCTTCTTTTCTCCATAGGTATAAATGGTTTAAAGAATTGTGGGACACATTACTACTGCCAGAGTTAGATGCCATGGTGCTAACTAGTCAGAGCATGTGTTTCCCCCTTGTGTCCTTGATTCTCTTTCTCTTTGGAACTTGTACTGCCTACTGGAGTGCCCTGTTATCCTCTGCATCTGTGCGACTCCTTTCTTCATTGTGGTTAGCTTTAAAAAGGTAAAGAATGAAAAATGAATAGCTTTCTTATTGCTCTTTAGTTAAGAAATAATTATATACTGATAGAGAACCTTAAAATTAATTGTTTTGCTAAATTATTTTCTAAGGAACAATGTATAACTAGCAAAATATGCCTTAGTGTTAACAAGTCTTTGTCAAAGCTAATCATTTATTACATGTTAAATGCTACATTTGATTTTGGCCTTAGTGCTCAAGAGTTAGTCAAAAAAAGTTTGACAAATTGCACAAGTATTTTTTAATTTCACTGTTGGGAATCTTTTCCCAAGAGGGATTGTAACTCTGGCATTGCTTTTATATACTCACATCTATAATTAAACCTGAGGGCAAAAGACTATAATCAAGATATTTAGCATTAGATCAGATGAGATGTATAAAAGTTTTAAATACATTGCCTAGACTGAGTTTTATTATAGGCCCAAAGACACAGTTTGAATCTATAGTTACTGATAGGCTTTCCTGGTAAATCACCAATCTAGTTTATATTGCCACACCTCCTTACTATAAAGGTTATGTGATTTTCTGTCACGGAAGGGATTATGGGGTGATGCTTCTCCCTCTAACTTTCTGAGACCTTCAGACAGGGGTTTCTGGTTGTAATACCATCAAGCATATGATCTTGAGGCTTTAAGAAATAAAAATAGGAAATTGTTTCTCCTCCAGTCAAGATTAGAGATGTGTGGCACAGGGTCTATAATTAATGGTTATCTTTGGCAACATTTTTTCCTTCCTTAGTACAAACATCAGCCATAGTGTATGCAAATAGAAGAGGAGCTATCTTCAGTGTATTACAGAACTTAAAATCAAATATCTGGGGCCACTTGCTTTTTTAAAAAAAAATACCTTACTTTTTACCTTATGAGATTTGCATATTAATAATCAGGAGAGCCTGGGAGAGTACTATATCATTTTTTTTCTTATATGTGACTACATAAATATCTTTTAATATATTTTCTAAAACTTCATTCTTCTAATTCCAGACCCTCTGAACTTCCTAAAGATATCAAGATGCTATCACCAGACTTGCCCTTTTTGACAGTTGTTTTGATCATAGTCGGTTGGACAACTTGCGGAGCACTTGCCATACTTCTTTCTTACCTTCACTATGTGTTTAAGGTATGTCAGATCAGTAAAGCCAGAATGATGGGGCTTTGTATTAGACAGGCATAGAATGTCCTGTAGGTGTTGTGTACAAAAATTTAAGTACCACTGTAGTAGCCTTTTGTGTAGGCTAAAGACATCATTTAATATAAAGGTTCCTTCCCACCCCCACCCTGGGTAGAATGCAGGGGCATCATCATAGCTCACTGCAACCGCAAACTCCTGGGTTCAACTGATCCTCTTGCCCTAGCCCCTGTAGTAGCTGTGACTTCAGGTGTGTGCCACCAGGCCCAGCCAAGTTTTCTACCTTTAGTAGAGACAGAGTCTCAAACTCCTGAGCTCAAGCAATCCTCTTGCCTTGGACTTCTTGAGTGCTGGGATTATAGGAGTAAGAAGGTGTTTTCAAATATTTTAGTTCTTTAAATCATAGACAGTTAATTTTGGAACTGAAATCATTGACCTGAGTTGAGATATTTTTGGTTTAAAAAATAAAGGATAAGATATAATCTATTTTAGATTGTTTCTTGATCTTCTAAGTGCTTTTTGTTTTAACATTTTACTAGAGCCCTTTTTATTCATGCCTTGCTAAATGGGTGAGAGACAAAAAGCTTTGTCAGAGGAATCAAGCTAAATCATGCCAAGATAATGTAAAATATTGCAAATGTTGATGAAGAATCAGAAGACAATGATAAAAATATTAGGGTAATAATTTTATTGAGGAAGTGGAAAACACTGCTGAGAAGACTGATAGCTTCGCAAAAAAATCAAGGAGGTTATTATATACAAGTGCATATTCTCTATGGTAGTCTTATGGACAGTTAACATCAGAGTGGATAATACCTTTCCTTTTTAAACAAAGGTACATTTACCTTTGTTTTTAATGCTAATACATGCACAGTATAGATTATTTTAAGTTTTCCAAAGGAAATTTATATGCCTCTGAAAAAATTATTTAGGGATGCTTTGATTTTTAGTAATATTTTTAGTATTTTTAAAATGCAGTATTTTAAACAACTGACCCAACAACCAAAAGTTTTTTAAATACTTAATTTAAGAAAACCTAACAAATTTATAGATTTTGTTAGGTTCTGATAAACATTTCACCATTTTATATAATTGAGTTCAGATTTTCAGAGATTTGAAATATGTAAAATATGTTAAATTCTTTTACTATATCGAATATAATCAAGTCTGACTCACAAGACACATTAAGAGATCATTCTGTATATGTACACCATGGAATACTATGCAGCCATAAAGAAAGATGGAGACTTTACGTCCTTCAGTTCACATGGATGGAGCTGGAAAATGTTCTTCTTAGCAAAGTATCACAAGAATGGAAGAAAAAGTATCCAATGTACACATCCCTATTATGAAACTAATTTATACCTTTTATATGAAAGCCATAACCTAATAACAGCCTAAGAATACAGGGAGGGGGGAGGGGGAAGGGAGAGGCGAATGGGTGGAGGGAGGGGGATTGGAGGGATCACTTCTGTGGTTTATCTTACAAGGGTACAAGTGAATCTTTCTAAGAGTAGAATATGAACATTTTAACACAATAACTAAGAAAATGACATGAAGGCTATGTTAACCAGTTTGGTGGAAGTGTTTCGGATTGTGTGTGAAAACACCACACTGTACCCCAGAAGTGCATTAATGTACATAGTTACCATTCAATACAACATAAAAAAATAAAATAAAATAAAAAGACATCATTCAAACATAGACTTTTATTGGATTTAAAAGGTATAGCAATATATTCTGGCCCCAACATACTCTGGAAGTTTGTTTTGTTTTACATTTTTGTTTTTTTAATTCATAATAGCAAGCATGTGTAGTTATTGTTTTGTGTTTTCTAACAGAATATGTTTAAATGTTTAAATGAATTTTTGGTTGTTTAAAATTTTAGTATATATGTTTCCAAAACAAGTATTTAAGATTTTAATATTTTCAGATTACAGTGCTTCTGAGTTTTAATAAAAGAGGCCTATACTTTTTTTTCAAGATAAAATTAGTTTTTCTTTCCTATAGATTATTCATCTGCAAGCCAGCCTCACAACTTTTAAAAATAAGCAGTCTGTGGTAAGTTTTATTTTTAATACTCACCATAATTTTAATATGAAAAAACATGGGAAAATATGAGTTTTTTTTTTAAAGGTTATGATTTTAAAGTATTTAAAAGATATAATATTACCAATTTAAGTTACTTTAAGAAAAGTGAACCTAATGAATATTAAAACAGACTTAAATTATTCTAAATTTAAATTTGTTCTCTGTTGCTACCTATGTCATTTTTACAAATGATAGTCTTTTAAATTTTACTCTGAATAATTACTTAGAGGATATATTCTCAGGAGTGGAAAAAAGTCAAAGGAACAGAAGTTTTATAACTATTACTACTTTTAAATGCTTTCAAACAAAGTAATTTCACTATTTTATGTCAGTTTGGTAATGGAAAGATGTATGTATTTAGCTGTTAAGTAATTTAGTATAATTTTGAATAAAATATTATCTTAAACTTATTTTTGTTTACTTAGTATCTTGATATTTTTATTTTATTGCCTTATAGAATCCTAAACACTCTAGAAGAAGTGAAAAAAAGTTCAATCACCGTAAAGACGTGACAGCACACCATCTTCATTTATCTGCTAATGATGCTGAAGACAGTCTTCGAATGCACAGTACTGTCGTTAACTTATTAACATGGATTGTATTACTCAGCATGCCATCTCTAATTTATTGGTTAAAGAATCTTAGGTGTGTTTTATTTGTATAATTATTTTTTATATGGTTCAAACAATAAATACCACTGTAGAGACTTACTAGATCCCTAATGATCCATAGAAATTTCTTAAGAACAAGAAGCTACTTATTACCTGCAATTTATTTTTAATATACTCACATTTGCTTCCTTAATATGCAAACATAAATATTAGAAATATAAACTTCTTCAAAAACTAACCAAAAAGAGTGAATTGAATTTTTATTTATTGGTTAATTGCTAACTAAAAGCCACTTCACTCAAGTGGCAGTTGAAAACCCTTCATCAGTATAGTTTTTAAAAATGATATAAAACTTTCCAATTATCTAAAAACTAGAAGTATTGTTTTTAAAAGTTCATAGACCCACAGTAAGTTCAATAATTAAATCAAAGGTTACTAGATGTTAATATCCTTTCTTTGTTCCTCTTTCTAGTCAAGATCCAGATTTTTGTTCAGAGATTTGTTGTCAGAATTATTTGAGGAGCATAATTTGTGATTCTGAAAGGTTGTAGACATCTTACTGTCAACAAATGGAAGAGATGAATTGGATTTTTAAAAAGATAATGGGCAGTTATCTCTATATAAATGTTCATTTTCTCTTTTGTTATGGAGTAACATTAATATATTTTCAATAATTTGTGTCTTTAAAATTTCATATATGATCTTTTAGACATCTACCTGTTGTAAAAAGGAAGTGTATTCATTCATACTGGGTGTTGTAATTTCCTTTAGTAGTTTCTAAACATAATTTTCCATAACCTTGGATATAAAATGATCTAGAGAAAAAATTACTTAACAGAGATCTCTTTAGCTATCTAGAGCACTCTTATATCCATATTGCTACTGGAATATTTTAACAATTATTTGTGTTGATTCTGGTAATTTAAAGTGATCAGATTGGCCAGGTGCAGATTGGCCCCTATGATCCTAGCACTCTAGGGGAGGCCTATTGCTTGAGCTCCAGAGTTCAAGACCACCCTGAGCAAGAGTGACCCTGCCTCTACCAAAAACAGAAAGGCTAGCCAGGAATTCTGGCAGGTGCCAGAGGCTGAGGCAAGAAGATCGCTTAAGCCCAAGAGTTTGAGGTTGCTATGAGCTGTGACATGACAACACTATCCAGGGCACAGAATGAGTTCTCAAAAATAAGATCAGGTCTGCTTTGTTGATTCATGTTTTATTTTTTCTTTTTATTGTAGATATTGTTTTAAACTTACTCCTGATCCATGTAAACCTTTGGCCTTTATCCTTATTCCAACTGTGGCAGTTCTTGGAAATACTTACACTGTTTCAATAAAATCAAGGTACAATAGTTTAATCTTTCTTTTTCTCACATATGTTCCTGCCCTTTATCACCCTTTATTTTATGTCTGAAACATACCTTTTATTCCTAATCTATGTGACTGTTCCTGAAAGTAAAGCCAGAACAGTGCTTTATATGCAAGTGGTTTATATGCAAGTATTTTATATTTATTTTCTTGAATGTAGGTTTAACTTATTAGAATATAATCACATTGGTTTTTCTTTAAAAAGTTAATCCTTAAAAGATAGGATGCTTAAGATTTGCTTCCAAAAAGTACAAAAGAAGTGAATGGGGTATAGGTGAAAGAAGATTAGCCATAATTTGACTGTAGTCTAATTTTGTATGTGTTTGAAATTCTACATAATAAAATGATTTTTCATTTGTTGATTTTTTTTTTTTTTTTTTTTTTTTTTTT